GGGAAGTTAGGTTGGCTTTTTGGCTATTTTAGCATTGGCTAAAAAGTTTGTTTGAGTTGACTTTTTTGGCTCTTTTGACTTTTATGAGAGAAAAAGTTAAATGATTATGATTTGAATGCGACATTTTGTCTTATTGATTTTTTAGCATATTTTGTATTTTTTTTGGCTAATTTAGCCAAAAAGCCAACCCAACTTATATCCCAAACGACACTTGAGTTTTGAGTTATGTGTTTGCTTCTGAGTTTTAAAAATAATTTTCAAATTAAGTTTTGAATTATATGTTTGGTTATGATTTGAATGTTTATTTGTATTTTGAGTTTAAAATATTAAAAAAATAATAAAATATTTAAAATAAAAAAATAAAATTTTCTTAAACATTTTTAAATATTAAAAAAATTCTAAAAAATTTCAAAATACAACTTAAAATTCAAAAATTCAAAACTCAAAATCTAACTCAAAATTCTTTTCAAAATTCAACATTCAAAAACTCAACTCTTTCAAAACTCATAACCAAACAAATTTTCTTATTTGACATGATCTAAAAAAGTCAAAAAAAACACTATCCTATTTAAGTCATATCATCTTCACATCACCTCTCTAACACATCACTTCAAACCCAACCCATATTTCATAAAAAGTCAAAAAGTGCACTTATTTAGATCATCTCAAACCATCCCCCTTTGTTTGGGATATGAGTTTGCTTTTTGGCTTGTTGGTTATTTTACCATGGGGTTAAAAAGCCTCGTTTGGGACTTTTTAATTTTTTAGCATGGGACTTTTTAATTTTTTTTTGATTTTTTGTGAGAGAAAAAATGAAATGATTATGGTTTAGATGTAATATTTTGGAGTGTTTTGAAAAAATGGTGTAACAACCCTAATTTCTTGTAAGTCATTATTTATTATTATTTCTTTATTTTATTTTTGATTTTATTAAATGCATGACTACATGAGAATTTAATGTGATATTTAATTAATTTAATGTGTTATTTAATTATATGTAATTAATCTGAATATTGATATATTTATATTGTTTATAAAAAAAATGTTTATATATTGATAAAATATATATCATATCTATATTTATATATATTATATTTATGTTCTATTTTTATAATATAAATATATTAGTCAAATATGTTTTATGTATTATAAAATAATATATAATCCTAAGTTAGGTTAAGCATGTATAAGTGGCTGATGCTAATAAGAAAAAAAAAAAACGAAAAAAAAAAAAGGAAGAGAAAAGTGTGTGCGGCAGCCGAGTGCGAAAGGCAAAGAAGAGTGGAGGAAAAAAAAAATTAGGGTTTTGTTTTAGTGGTTTTATTAATTTTTTAAATATTTTTTGATCTTTAAAAAATAATTGTGAGTGTAAAATCTACTTCCTTTGATTTATGTTTAATTGTTATTTTTATTTATTTATTTTTATTTATTCGATGTTGAATTGATTTCGTATTTGTATGTAGATGATTGATCGATTTTAATTATTTGGATTAGTTGTGTATGCAAGGTTTAGGGTTTTTAGATGATTGATTGATTTTAATTATTTTGATTAGTTGGGTATGTCATGTTTAGGATTTTTATATAGATTTATTTTATGGTTGTAATCACACTCATAGATATATGAAATTAAAATTAATTAGGAACCCATAGATAAATTCCTTATATTTCAGACTCCATAACTTGCACAAGGATTTATTATTATGTTGGAGTCATGATGGAGTATAAATTCCTTATAAATATGAGTTTATTGTTATATGAATTTATAAGGAGTTTATTGTTATAACATATTTTAGCAGTGCAGGTTTTAGATGTTGTTTTAATCTACGAAACGAGCTCATTTTTATTGGTTTCGCATAAACTGAAGTAAAATATTATTCTGCACATTTTTTGTGTTTTGAACTTTTTCCAAAAAAAATTATATTAGGACAGTTTCTATTCGTTTTTAGCTTCAGATTTTTCGGTTGAATTTTGTCTAGGTTCTTCTATCCAGTTTTTCTCTCAACCTGTTCAGTTTCTACTAAATTTGTTCGCTTTGTCTTTAGGAAATTTGATTTTGTACAATTTTTGTTCTTTGAGTTTTGGTCAATTCGAATTATTTAAGTATGAAACGGTATATTTTGATACTCTTTAGCAAATTACTTCTGATTAAATTATACTAACTTCATTTTTTTTGTAGGATGGTGGGTCTTACTAACTTTTTATGCAGGGTTGACCTACCATATTTTTATTTCTATTTTGTTTATTTTATACTCAATTTATATTTCGTTGTGTACGGGCAAGAAACTAAATGTCACCGTATCTCGGGAAACTACCCATTTGTCTCGGTGCAGATGAAACTACTTGTCTTGTCCCGTAACAAGAATTAAATGTATTTTTGTTTGTGTTTGATGGACACGTGGATGTTAAATCTTGTACTCATACCAGTATACCTGTATACTAACCTGTTTTGTCTCTTGGCAACTAGGGTGCGTTCTGTTTGAGCGCAACCGAGCTTTCTTTGCAGGATTAGTTGGGATTACGGTGGTGAAGAGAAATAACTATAGTTGTTGAACATATCGTTTAGACTTCTTTTGTTTTTTTTGAGCTAAGAGTTAATATTAGTTTATGTATTTATTATTTTTTTTATGACTTTAGTATTTGGATAATTTGGCATGGTTTGTAACCTTACATTATTTAAGTTATTTTGACTATTTATTGTTACTTTAATGTTTGAGGTATTGGATAGTTATGAAATTTTATGGTGGATGGTTTGATTGGAGTTTTGTTAGTTTTTTTTTAATCCTTTGTAAGCTTTTGAGCATGGAAATTTATTTAAACCTTATAGAGATGTGAACGTTTAGATTTTGTTTCACCCTACGATTTGGATGATGGAATATTGATTGGGGTTTAGTCCTGATTTAATATTTAATTGTCTAAATTTTGGGGCGTGACAAATGGTTGAAAGCTGACTTTTTTGGTTTTTTTTTTTTAAAGTATAAAAAATGTGAGAGATGATGTGATCCAAAATGGGTTAAAAGTTGGGAAGTGACTTTTAACACACTTTCCAAAAGAGGCCTTTGTCTTATTGATTTTTGAGCCTATTTTATTTATTTGTAGCTAAAATAACGAAAAAATCTTATGCCAAACGAAGTCTTAAATCACAAATCTACTCTCAAATCATAATTTTAAAACTAAACCAATCATAGACTAGTTCACATTGGCCTCGTTTGGAGAGTTACTACTTTTTTGACTTTTTAATTATTTGACTATTTTAGTAGGCTATTTTAATTTTCGTGTTTAGGAAGATGGGTTAGATATTTTATTTGCAACCCCGCTACAGACCCCCAGTGGCTTGCGACCCCCAGTGACATGGCAGCTGATGTGTAAACACAGCTGGAAAATTTAAAAAAAAATAAAAAAAAATAAAAAAAACATCTGGAAAAAGCGGGAACTCGTCTATCCTCACCTCTCGTCGCCATCCTCCTCTTTCACCGACGACGGCCATAGCTCGCCGGAATTTCTGCAATCTTCGTCGCTCTCATCAATCTGGTAATATCTCCATAGCTCGCTCTCATCTATCCTCAATCTTCGTACCTCTCATCAAACTGAGTTTCAAACTAAATGGGTTTAAGGTTCCTAAATGGGTTTAAGGTTCCTCTCATCAAACAAAGATTGAGAGGAAGATTGAGAGGAACCTACAGGGGCATAGAACTATAAATTTACGGTTCCTCTCAGAAAATGGGTTTAAGGTTCCTCTCAATCTTCGTGCCTCTCATCAAACAAAGTTTTCACCCATTTTCTCATTAAAGGAAAATTTATAGTTCTGTGCCCCTGTAGGTAGTAAACTGAATGGACATAATTAATTGTTGCTGCTCACAATTTTCAGGAACTACTTTCAGTTGAAACAAACAGGGGAAAACAAGTGTTGGGTGTAAAGAGATATCTTTTTCTTTTTGTTTAGCTTACTGCAGAGGCATTATAAATTTTCTACCAAAGTATATGTTGAGATATGACAGTAGATGTGCTAGTTTAAGCAAATGGAATGGAACCTAAGGCATTATGTCATATCCAAATCCATTGGGTTTTGGTTTTACTACCCTATTGCCTTTGTAGTATAACTTCATTGATGATCTAGATTGGAGTCTGTTATGTGATTAAAACATCTTAATTGTGTCAGGCAATTCAGATGTTGTAATGAGTTTTTCGCAGTTCACAAGTAAATTTATCCAAAAAATGTTGAGGACTTACTTATAGACTCTGTAGGTACTAATACTATTTCACAGATTGAATTATTGGATCCTCTTCGCCTGTTAATTGGTGGTGAGTCCTCTGAAATTCAAATTGTTAGGTGCTTTAGATCATTCTGTAATGGCAGTGGGGATGTTTCTCATTTTGGTGCACCATTAGTTTTGAAGCCTTATATACAATTATTGCCTCTTTTACAGTTTATTCGCTTCAATCAAGTTTATTTTCTCTGTGCTGCAAGTTAACTGTTCTAATAGCTGTATTTGTTTAATTGTTATTTCAGTACGCAAAGTGAAAGAATGGAGGTTGATTCAAATGTTGGTGAGAATCCTTTAATACATGAGGGCGAAGATGTTGAAGAACCTAAAAAGGGTATGTGTTTTAGCTCAAGGGAAGAGGTGTACACATTTTATGGCAAATATGCTAAGCATGTTGGATTTTCTATAGCTCATAGAGCACAACGTTTTGGAGATGATGGGCAATTGCTAAACTTTGCAAATGAATGTTCTTGAGCGGGGCAGAGAAAAAAGAAATCAGAAGTCAACCCTCTGAAACCATGTTTGTCCACAAAGATTGGTTGCACAACAAGGGTACGAGGTAGTGTACAAAAGGATGGGACATATAAACTAACCACAGTTAACCTTGAGCATAATCATGATTTGATTCCCACCGACTCACGTCATTTTGCAATGAATAAGAAAATTCTTACTCCTGTGAAGAGAAAATTAGAAATTAATGATGAAGCAGGGATTGGGGTGTCTAGGAACTTTCATTCAATGGTTGTTGAAGCGGAGGGATACGAGTCATTGACATTTGACGACCGAGATGCAAGAAATTACATTGAGAGAGCTAGAAGGTTGAGGCTTGGGGAAGGTGATGTCGAATCACTTCAAAGTTATTTTATGAGGATGCAAGCACATAGTGAGAGATTCTTTTATGTGATTGATGTTGATGAGGAGTTTCGCATTAGAAACTTATTTTGGGCTGATGCTAGGAGTCGGGCGACTTATGAAGCATTTAGAGATGTCGTTTCATTTGACACAACGTATTTGACGAACAAATATGACATGCCATTTGCTCCATTTGTCGGAGTTAATCACCATGGACAATCCATTTTGCTTGGTTGTGGATTGTTGTCTAGTGAAGACACTAACACATTTGTTTGGCTATTCAAGTCATGGTTAAGTTGCATGTCAAATCATCCGCCAAAAGCTATCATAACTGATCAGTGTAGAGCTATGCAAAATGCTATAGAAATTGTGTTTCCGCAAGCTCGACATCGGTGGTGCTTATGGCATATCATGAAGGAAATTCCGGAGAAGTTGAAAGGATATGCTCAGTATGAAGCCATAAAGTTGGCTATGCAAAATGCACTTTATGACTGTTTGACAAGAGCTGAATTTGAGAGTAAATGGGAAGAGATGCTTGCAACATTCAATCTTTATGATAATGAGTGGTTGGCGGTACTATATGATGAGCGGAATCGATGGGTACCTGTCTATGTTAAAGACATTTTTTGGGCTGGCATGTCAACTACACAACGAAGTGAAAGTATGAATACGTTTTTTGATGGATATGTAAATCCAAAAACTACATTGAAGCAATTCGTTGAACAATATGACAATGCCTTGAGAAATAAGGTAGAGAAAGAGAAGAAAGCAGACTTCAAGTCTCGACACAAATTATTTGATTGCCTAACTATATATGGTTTTGAGAAGCAATTTCAGCAAGCCTACACCAATGCGAAATTCAAAGAAGTTCAAGGAGAGTTGAAGAGATTAGTTTACTGTCAGGCGGTGATTGTGAAAGAGGAGGGATCAATTTCTACATATAATGTCCAAGAAGCGATGGTAGTTTGCGAGAAGATGAAGCATGTGGACTTTGTTGTCTATTTTAATCAACTGAATGTGAAGTTCAATGCATTTGTCGGTTGTTTGAGTTTAGAGGCATTATGTGTGCTCACTCACTCGCTGTGCTTGTTAGAAGATGCATAAATGAGGTTCCAAGTAAATACATTTTGCCCCGGTGGAGAAAAGATGTGGATAGAGAATACGCATGCATCAAAACCACATACACCGGCTTTGGGAATGATTTCAATGCAAGTACCTATGAGAGGATGAACAAAAAATTGATTGCCATTGTACAACTTGCTGGTAACTCTGAAGGAAAAACTAGAATTGTAGACCTTGGGTTGGATGAAATCAAGGAGAGAGTCATGAAAGAAGAATCCAGTGATGGGAGTAATTTACCATGTTCAACAAAAAGTCTGATTCACACCGGTTCTACACAAGGAGGTACTAGTAGGAAGGTGATTAGTCCTTTGGTTGCTCGGCGAAGAGGTCGTCCAATTATGAAACGGAAGGTTGCCAAAGTAGATCAAATTGTTAATCGGTTAAAGGCAACGGCAAAAAAACAAACAAAAGCAAAGGTAAAATGTCTATTCAAATTTTTTTTTTTTACAAACTCTATTCAAGTATGTAAAAGCAATTCATAAATTTCAATCTTTAATTATTCTTCAAAACATACAGGCTGCTAAGTTGCTTCGATTTGAAGCTCAAGCTCAAGCTTAAGCTGAAGCTGAAACTCAAGCTCAAGCATATACACCGTATTATCCTTATATGGTTGGCACATAAAATAGTATGTATATACCGGTACATGTTCCAAAAAGGCCTTCATGTACTTTTACAAAGTGTATTCCAAAGAGAACTTCATGTACTTTTATAAAGTGTATTATTCTAACATGTACTTTTTGCAATGAATTGTCACAGGTGGCCCATGGTATTGGAGGCACGTCTCTTACTCCATCGGACTTCATAAGTGGCACACAGGGAAGTTTGATGAGTGCTCCAACTCAGATTTATGGTTCTGCATCTCTAACCCCATTAGCTTCTCATGCATGCACACCAGGAAGCTTAGATATTACAGACTTGTTTGACTAGTTTCTATGTATTCGAACTGTTTGTTTTTTAGGTTGGAAATTATGTAGTCTATTGATCTGAGTTTCAAACTTTGTTTTTGAGATTGTAGTTTATGTTACATGTGGATTTGTAAAACATGTGGTGTACTAATTATTAATGAAGTTATGTTATTATTATTATTTGTTATGTAATGAAGATGTTGCAATATTTAGTAATGAACAATGTTTATTTAGCAGTTCTTTGTATTGAACAATGTTTATTGAACAGTTTTCATGTATTCAACCATGTGTATTCAAGAGTTTTCCTATGATAAACAATGTATATTCAGTAATTTCCCTGTATTTAACAATGTATATTCAATTGTTTCCCTGTATTCAACAATGTATATTAAATAGTTTTGCTGTATTTAATCATGTATATTCAATAGTTTACCTGTATTCAACAATAGTTACCTTGCATTCAACAGTTTCCTGTATTTAACAAAGTCGATTCAATGAGTATTGAATAAAGTATACAAGTTTGAACAAGTCATTTTCCATTCCATTTACCACAAAAGAGGTACAATAATTAGATTTCAATACACAACAAAACATAACTTCCTCGAAAACATCACAAAAGTATTCAGTCTACTTGAACTTGTACATTGACATCTACTTCTACTTGTAACTTACATATATGTATATATATGTTATTACATATTCACAAGTTTAAAGACACCAATTACAAGCAATATGGACAATATACATATCAACTTTTGCATCTTTGCGTTCTGAATTCGAAGTTGTTCTGTCATCTGTATTTGTTGTTCGGTCATAACTTGTTTGCCGACAGTTGGCACTTCGTTTCTTGGAATTTGATGACCTCTATATTCTGGATTCGTAGGTAAACACCATCTGATAAAACCATAATTATTACAAGAGTAGAATAACTTGTTTTTGTTTTGATCGGTTTGTGATATTAAAATGGTGGCCTTTTTATTACATGTACGACAATTTCTGTTGACGTATGTCAACCAATCGGAGCTACTGCCACTGACACTTGAACTTGACATCTGCAAAAATGGACAAATATTAACATTACAGCACTTGCATATATTCATTATGAAGCACATTAAAAATACAGGTTTCTCATTCTACAAAAAAACTATTATAAGCTTTATGACAGCCCTTGGAGGTGATTCTGAAAATCAACTTATTTACCCTCCAAAAAAGCTGTTATAAGTTGTAGTTAGTGTCATAAAGTTGTAACAAAAGTTAGATTCTGTAACAAAGCTGTTATTTTTGCACTTCATTCAATCATTGGATGCTACTGGCACTCATTCAGATAAAGGTGTTATTTCTCAGTCTACATTGACCAACTGTCATGACACTAGCCCCTCAAGTAGTGACTTAGTTGAGGATGGGGATTTCAGCCAACAAGGGATAAGGTGTTCATAAAAATGATCAAGTAAAACCTGTAAAACCTGTTTCATAAAAAATCTGGACAGGTTTCAAGTAAAATCTGGACTTGTAAAACCTATTTCATAAAAAATCTGGACAGGTTTCAAGTAAAATCTGGACCTGTCAAACCTGTTTCATAAAAAATCTGGACAAGGGATAGGGTGTTCATAAAAAATATGGACACATTAGTCTTCAAAATGATCAAGTAAAACCTGTTTCATTTTAGAAGATAGATAGATAGATACAGGTTTTCATTATTTACCTTTTCATTTAATAGGAAAACCTGTTTCATAGATACAGGTTTCATAGATTATGAACAGGTTCACTGTGTCCTTTCCAGAAATTATATAAGATGATGATTAACACAAAGATATAAATATTGACTCTGAGGACTCACAGTATTCATATGTTATGTGCTTGGGTGTTTAATCTGAATGTCAAACATTGAATTAATGTACATATATGGATGTAAAGATGTTTACATGTTAGGTTTCTAGTTAGATGTGGCATCTAAAGACATGCTTGTGATTAAATAAAAGCTACCATTCAAAGTCTTGAATCCTGAGGCAAAATGCATGTATGATTAGCTCTAATGAACATGTCAAAAAAACAAAAAACATAAATTTGCATCGAGGAACTAATTGTGTATGCTTATAAATGAACAATCTCATTGACTTTATTTTGTTTTTTTAGTCCACAATCCAGAAAAACACCTGCTACCTAAACACCTTAGGACTTTCAACTACGAAAAATACCATACAAACTAAAAAAATTTACAACTTTTTTTTTACTCATTGATGTGGTATGTGAATTTCATGGTGAAGCAACCCAATACTGCGTAAATCAGCTTTATAAAGTATTCAGTATTTTGTAATCCAAATTCAGCTTATGAACAGGTAACATGCGTAAATCACAGATATACATCACTGTCATAAAGCTGGTTTATAAATCACTGTCATGAAGCTTTATAAAGCTGATTATGAACAGGTTTAACATTTCGTTGAGGAATTTCATCGAACAGGTTTATGGCAATGTAAGACTCCAAATGCAAAAGGCCACAATTCCCAAATGAAAAGGCCAAATTCAATCCCCAAGATCAGATAGCATGACAGAGAAAATCAAAAGGCCAAGTGAAATCATTTCACAGATAGATATACATATACAGATATATATATATACCCAGATAAAATTACCTCTTAATCGGAGATTCGGGAGAAGCGGGAACGAGCTATGTCGGAGTGAAGGGAAGGAGTGGTCGCCGGCGTCGGAGTGGGGGTCAGGCGTCGGAGTGGGGTTATGCGTCGGAGTGGTTACCGTTGGAGCTGGAGCTGGAGTGGTTACCGTTGGAGATTTCAAAATGAAATGTGAAGATGTGTTTGGGTCTTAACGTCACTTGACAATCACGTGACGTGCCACCTCAGTTGGGGGTCACTAGGGGTCTTCAATACTGGGGGTGCGAACCATTTTGGATTTTAAAATTTTGTTTGGTTAAGTGATTTTGGGAAAAAAAAAAAAATATGTGTTTGAAATAATGTTAGGATGTAAAATGACAAAATTGTCCCGAATAATAAAATATTGTTTTTCCAACAAAGAAGCATTTGCTGACGTGGTATGCACAATTCAAAGGGTAAAATGGACATTTACTCACCTATGTTGATGGTGCTGTGAAGCACGTGATCTGTCATGCCACAGTAGACTTTTGGGCTATTTTCTTCCACGAGGCTAAAATAGCCCCTCACCCAACTTCCCAAATGGTGCCAATTTTGTGGATATTATTACCTAGGTATTTGTTTTTTGAATTAAATATTTGACGCCTGTAAAAATTTCTTCCAACTAGACTAATATTATATGGTAAGTGTTAATTTTTAATTTGTTACCTAGTCAATTATAAAACCAATTCATATGTCATATGTTGGCCTAAAATTATGAATATCTAGTATTTTCCTTAATTTTTAACCATAGAACAAAGTGAACAAGGAATAGTCTATGTCCATAACACATTCTCCCAATATATACTATTTATTTGAATTTTACGTATAATTTTTCGATTCATACAATTATTTTTTAAACAACGCCAAGATACTCTCATCTTCTCCAATCACAAATCCTAACCCCAACTCAAACCTTGGCCCCTAGCCCCCTTCCTCTGCTGAAGCCGCGATCCCCCAGCTCTTAATTGCATTATCTTCCCTAGCCACCATTGCAAATTATAACGTTGAGAAATGTAATTTACCTTTTAGGTTTTTTGAGATTGAAATATTTAATTTAATACATGTTCTTTAAAAATCTAATATAAATTTCAAAGTCGAGTGAATTGCACCATTGCAAATCTAATATATTAATCAACTCAGTTGGAGCAAATTAACTCAAAATTTAAAATTAAGAGTTAAAATTAAGTGAATTTTAAGTGTAGAGATGAAAAAGACATAATGGGCAAAATAGAGAAACTACTAGTGTAATTTGCTCTAAATCTTAATAAGTTGAACAAAAATTTAAAATATGTTATTTTTTACCTGTTTAGCTTAATAGTTATATAGTATTATTTTATAATGCGAAATTGTGGGTTTAACTCTCACAAAGAGGATTTTGAATTCTTTGTGAATTTATAAGTCATGCATTCCAACTTTAAGATTTTTT